ATATCATTTCATCTCTACGTTTAGGTGTATCCTGTATGTTTTTTTCTCGAACGTTTACCTTTGAATTGTTTCTTGAATTAGACTTTTTCTCTTTGGATTTCCTCTGCTGGACGTTAAACTGTTGACCAGTTCATATGGGTACTCTCTGGTCGCCTTCCATTTGTTTTCTGTAAAACCCTTCAGTAGGGTTTTTTAAGTTTATTTTTGCCGCCAAAACCTGCCAGCTGTTTGTGACTACTTGGCTGCTCTCCTGACACCGATGAGATGCTCTGAGCCAGTTATTTAAAAACCCTTTGGCGCCTGATTTATTCAATCCACAGCCGGAGCCATTGTCACGAGATGATCAGCGTTATTCTCCTTCGCCTGTCACTGGTTTTAACGTGGCTGACTGATGTACATGTGTGCATTAATATAGATATATGAAAACTCCAGGAGGGCTGGCGAACATAAATCAATCAAACAGGAGGATCTGAAACGCACAGCAGAGCGTTGAGGTCATCTTAAATGAGGGACAACGAGAAGACTGACCAACCACCAGCCTCATGAAACTCTAAATGTGAGGCCACAAGAGTCTAAAGCAAACTTTCTAGACTCACTAACTTTCTATAAGACGCCAAAGGAAATGAGGATTTCTCCTTTTCCTCTAACAAACTGTCTAATCAGTCTTTCCGCCCAGCTGAAGCGCTGAATTTCCGGTTCAATACTGGCTGAACTTTAAAGAGAAACTACTTCAACTCCTCCTTTCTTCCCCCCCTGATGTCAATCACTCTGCTGCTGCCACCTGGTGATTTATGTCTCGGCTACCAGAGAAAGAGAAGAAAAAAAAAAATCAAACGCACATTTTTAAAAGGTCAGACACTCTATATCCATTTTCTGCAGGGATCGATTAGACATCAGACTCAGAGAGAGACTGAAAAAAAATGAAGGGTTTCAGTCCAAACACTGTTTTCTCATCTTCACAGATCCATAAAGTACAAATCACCGGTAACCTAATACATGCCGTCACTGCTGACATAAAACAGGTGATATTCTAGATTTCTCTGACTGTCAGCAAACACACAAAATGACCAAAACTGATAATAAATTGATTCTTTTTTCTTCTCCTTTTGGTTTTAGTTTGAATCACCAGCGTTCCTGCTCCACAGCTGTTAATTGAACATTGATTTATCGTCAGGAAGGTTTTTATAAGCTCAAAGCAATTCATGTGTAGAAACAGAATCACCATTAAATCAATATCATCTCAATGATCGCGCCAACTGCCAATTTTCTTCACAGTTTATTTTAAATTGGACAAGAAGACAATTTGTATCTGATGTCACCGGCTGATGTGTTTTTGCTGGTTTTGAAGTATCACGTTAAATTAAGCTCTCCCAGTTTCACAAACTTCTCGTATTTTAATTTCTTATGAATGATGAGATGGAGAAGAGGTGGATTGATTTAGTGAGGGGCCACGCTGACGGAGGCCGTTTTACACCTGGTAGTTTTACAAACCTTCATCTGAGACAAGTGGGATTTGATTATAATCGGCTACCTCACATCCACTGGTCTTTATCTGCTTGTCCAATAAACACTTATCTGATGCCAGCGCTGACGGTAAACGCCTCCCAATGAGAGTGACTTATAACAATCCAAACACAACACATTACCAAAGCCATGTTGGCGCCCACCAAAGTTTACCAAATGAGTTTCTTGAATCTTACTCAAAATGGGATGAAACCATAGACTGTATAAAAGATGGACGTAGCAACCGGCCCTGAAAAATGAAGCCAACCTGGAAGTGTCAAAAACCTGCAATATCACTACGTCCACTAGCTGCTGGCTCCAAACAGCCCTGGCTCCCATTGACTTGAATTGGAAAAGAAGTGATCACAGATCATGAAATACTGCATTCCGACAGCTCAGGATTTTTTTCTGATTAGTTTTCATGGTCAAGTCCAGAGATCAGGTGGCCAATCTGAAAATAAACCAATACTGAATTTTTAAAAACCGTCAAAATGTTGAGGGGCAAGGGGCGTGGCTGGCTTGACTGACAGTCGGCAGCGAGGATACAGACGAAGCGAGCAGAAGGCGGTAAATGTGGGCGGGCAGAGAGGGCCCGCCTCTCAATCCGTCTGACCAATCGCTGCTCCGATGGCTCCGCCCCCCCCCCGACGATTTTTGCGTCACTGGCTCCAAAAACCCAAGATGTCAACCAGGAAGTAGCAAAACCCTGGCTTCATTTTCTCAGTGCAGAAACCAACGGGTGACGTCACGGTAGCTACGTCCATCTTTTATACAGTCTATGGATGAAACCACTCAAATTTCAGCAGCAGAATTTAGGAGTTATTCCAAACCAACAGAAATGTAAAAATATCACATTTGTGGTGTCTGGATTCCCCCTTGCTTTCAATGTTTATGGTAAATCATTCCAATTGCCTGCAGCCATAGACTGTATTTAATGCAGAGATGTCCAGTTCCGGTCCTTGTGAGCTACTGTCCTGCAGGTTTTAGACGTTTCCATACTGCAACACACCTGACTCACATTAATGGATCATTAACAGACTTGTGTAGAACTTGACAACAAGCTGTTGGACATCCATTAATCTGAGTCAGGTGTGTTGCAGTACGGAAACGTCTAAAACCTGCCGGACAGTAGCTCACGAGGACCGAAGTTGGAGATCTCTGATTTAATGGATGTGAAAAGTGAAGCCTGCATTTCTTCTATCAGCCAGCAGGGGGCGACTCGTCTAGTTGGAAAAAGAACTCTGATTGAAATTCATACCAAAATCACCCGACTTTCCATTTGATTTGTTCCCTCAGTAAACATTTTCCTCATGAGTTTATGATCTCGATCGCTAGTTTCAAGTCGCGTTCAATACAGCATGATGTTGAATTTATAAATTATGGTTCCAGTTAGAGTAGAATAGACAACAAAGCAGATAAGTTTTAGGCTGCCTAGACATGGACTCACCGACAATCACATACTTGGCTGAACTGCAGGCGGTGTTTTACACAGCTAGGAGACGAGTATGGAAACAGATTAAAAATAAAGTAATAAACATGTGTATAGCATGTGAACTCACCTTTTTGTTAACACATGTGTTGACGTTACACATGTTGATTTTCTAATTCAACTTTTATTTTCTCTAGGGATGTCCGATATTGACTTTTTTGCCAATATTCGATATGCTGATACTGTCCGACTCTCAATTTCCGATTCCGATATCAACCGATACCGACATATGTTTGCTACTTCAGCCACACTTGGTTACACGCTTCATGACGCAGTTTGATGTCGTCGTCGTTTGCGTGCTGATAAATGCCAGCGTTATTTTATCGGTTTTCATTAAAGGTGTAACGTGAGGGTTCGTTGACGGTTAATTGATCACTCTGATTAATAATGAGACAGCAGGACAGCGATCTTTACTCTTTACATGTCAGCGGCCACAACGACTTCCTGACACACGCTGTCACCTGACCGAACTAGCCAATCAGGAGGAAGCAGAACCAAACTGGGCAAATGCAAGTGTGCTACATAACAGCAGATTGACAGATGAACTTGTATGACACAAATGAAAATGTGTAAATAATAATTCTGCAAACATAAATGTAAACTGCTACTCAGGTAATCAATATCTATTGTAACAAATGAACTTGAACTAACATATTTTCCTGTAATATTTGATTTTACTGTTCAGTGTTTACTCAGCAGAAATCATTCTTCATTTATGAACCTTACAGAGGCAAAAAAAAAAGTTTGCATCTCCTCCTACTGGTATTGTTACATCTCTTGTGTGTTTGTGATCGTTTTACGTCTCTATGTGCTCATTTTACTTCTGATTGTGGTTGTTTTTTTATGCCAATATCGGGCCGATACTATCAGGACATCCCTCATTTTTTTCATGAATAAAGGCATTATGACTTTATGTCCCTGCAAAGACATTTTTTAAAGTTCTCTCTCCTTCTAGTTTCCATAGAGGTGCAGGACTTGTGAAAAATGAGCCCACGGTGAGTAAAAATGTGACGGGGCCGATAAATTCACAGAAAAATTGCTCGGGGTTCAGGGGGTTGAACGAGAAAAGTCCACATTTGGAGCTGATTTAATGTTGAAAATCTGCTGTTGGAACTAATGAGCAGAAGAGGATTTCATGACAAAAAGGACAAGACAGAAAGCACATCAGGCTTTTCTTTTAAATGCAGACTAAGGATGGAGACGGGGCTCAATGAATGATGGAAAATAATGTAGGTTGCGACGTAAAGAGAAACTCAGCTGCTGAATATTGAGTTTGAGCAGATGGTCAGACAAAGCAAACACACTGGAGCACATGTTGCTGTTGTGTCATTTCATCTTTCTACGTAGAAAAAAACAAAACGGGGCTCTAATTGTTTACCGGCTGATTTGGGTCATCGTGTTCCGTCCGAGTGCTTTATCTCAATCCTAATTAACACGAGCGGCGCCCATCGCAATCACAATCACAATGCGGCCGCCCAGGTGGAGGCTGCGGCTGCATAAATAAATAAATAAACAAAACCGGCAACATGTGAACGGATAAAAATCTGGAGCAGCAGCGTTTCCTTCCTCCCGCTTTCACGACTTGCTCACATCGCCGGAGGAATAATGATGTTTGAAGAGAAAATCGCTGTTGCGGTCGCCGCTTTCTTTGGAGGAATTTAAAAAAGAAAGAAAAAACACTTTTATGTGTTGGGAAGAGAAACAGCTGCAGGTTGATAAGCAGATTTCAAGCCTCCGCCTACGTACCAAACCAGCCTCGATGACTTGAAAACGCTCATTGTGCTTTCCCATCCCTTCCGGTGATGCTCTCGGGGCGAGCCGCGCCACACGTGTTGTATTTTTAGTTTCAACTCCGACGTCCTTCTCGGGGCTGCGTAACCCCCGAATCGCTATAGATGCTACGAGAAACAAACTGCTCGTTCCGCCGCCGCCGACCTCGCTTTGCTTGTTTTATGCTTCACGCCTCACAAAAGACTCCAGATTCATCAGGACTCGTGCGACGTCTTACCTCCTCGTGAAGTATGGCCTTGCACATGGAGTAGTTCCCCTTCAGCGCCCAGGTCCCATTCGCGAGACACTTCCTATAAACATTATCTGCACAGAGAAGACAACAAGACAGACAGAGAGAAGGCTGTTATCAGCAGACCAAGTGACTCTTTGTTGATTTTGCTCATATTTTATTCTCATCTTTCGCTTCTCTTCAAGGCCTTTTTTGGCCTCGTATCCCTGGAAATATAGGATGTGAGTTCCTGCTCGGTTCGCGGCGGCACCGCGACCTTTCGCTGCTTTTGAGACTAATAGGGAGAGATATCATTAGAGGTAGTGGAACAAGCTGTGATTTTTCACACGTTTGCTGTCAGGGCAGTCTACCACCCCTCTGCATAAGGACGGTTTGTCTTCTTTACATTTACTAACCAGCGGCCTGCGTTCAGCCTCAATCCTCCAACATCTGAACAGCCACGTTATCATAGCACCAGGAAGTGCAAACACTCCTGTATTTTTATCTGTTTATGTGTCTTTTAGAATGTTTGGCTGTAAAATAGACAATTTTAATGTAAATCCAAAAATTCAATGTTGAACAGATATTTGCTGTTATTTGAAAGAATTTTCTCTGGCAAACAAAAAGGTAGAAACTG